GGCCTGGCTGCTGACAGTTTTTGACCAAGTATGTCATCTGCTCTGCTGTCTGGGCTACCATTTGCTGGGCTTATCTTTGTTCCCTTCTTTCACTTTTGCATCGTGCATTGTGTGTAAGGTGCATCTCTTTATAGAGATGTAGACAGAATACCAGTTGAAGGAGTTTGATCCATTTGCATGAATGTAATTACTGATAGGGAAGAGCTTACTATTGTCATTTTGTTCCTTTGTCTGTCTTGTAGCTATTTGTCATTTTTCCTATTGCTATCTCCCTTTATTTATTTTTGTATTGACACAATTTGATTCCTTTTTCATTTTCTTTTTTGTATTCTCTATCAGCTCTACTATAGTATTGATGTCACAAATTTCTTCTCTATATACTATGTATCCACAAATATATTTTAACATTTTTTTGAACATGTAGATACTTCATTGCTCATCTTTCACATAGAGCACACCTCCAGCACACTTCCACAGCTTGACAAAAACCCAGCAAGCAGCAGCAAGGCACGTAGATGTCAGTCAAATTCAGCCAGGCTTCTGCTTTCTTCAGGAATATTAAAAGGCCTCCTGCACTCGGCTAAATCTACCTTCCTCCGTAGTGCATTTCTTCCACTACAAAAGCCTCCTGCAGAAGCAAACTAACTTGCGTTTGCTGAGCCAGTGGTATTAACTTGTACATAAAACAAATTTTGGTTTGCTATTTCTTCTAGCAGACATCAAGTAAAAACAAGGTTGAATGAGGAATTGTCTTGGATGGACACAGGTCAGTTTGAGTTGCTATACTTAACTAAATGCCTAAATGTACTATAGGGTCACAACTTAGTTTGTTATTATAGTCTTTATGGAATTTGGCTGTGATCAGGGTTTTCAGAACATATGGTACAGTATTCCATCAACTGAATAATATACTGAATGTGCTATCTGCAGAAGAGCTCATCTAAAGGAACTGACCTAATGGGTTTATCATGAAGCAAATGTGGCAAATATCTCTGAATAAAATGCCAATTCGGGCAAAATGGTGCTTAGAAAACAGACATTACAATATTTTACACAAAACACATATAAATGGATTGTTAATATGAGGAAGGTTTCTAAAAAATTCTAGGTGAATCCTCATTTTCAAAACTATGTATTGAAAACTACTTTATTCAAGTAATTTCTTCAAGAAAGTATGCATGTTCTGTCTGTGGAATTAGTCTACTGGTCAATTAAAGGCAACTTTATTTACTGTTCAAGAACTTTTTTCATAGAAAGGAGAGCCGATGCATGTGTTTCTCAAATAAACAGCATTATGTAAGTCCATTACAAAAAACAACAGCCAGGCGCAGTGTTGCACAGCTATAATCCCAGCAGCCAGGAGGCTGAGACAGGGGGATTGTGAATTCAAAGCCAGCCTCAGCAAAAGCAAGGTCCTAAGCAACTCAGTGAGACACTTAGAGAGTGTAAGTAAAAATGAATACAAACTAGAGCTGGGGGTGTGGCTCAGGGGTGACGAACAACTTGTGTAGATTGATACAGCAGGAGTGGAAGCCGTTTATTGTAGGACAGGAGGGGTATTTATACATTCCACACAGCTTATCTTAATTAGCATAAACTAGATACAGCAGTCAACCAATAAGAAATCTCCACACTTAATGGCTCGCTGGTGTTACTTCACAAACCACTCCCTCTGGCATTTTGCCAGGTGCCATCCGGACTTGTTTACAGACTCTAACAATTCCCCCTTTTGTTTAATTTAAATAACAGCCATAGTGGTTTTTACAGAAACCCATAAATAACCTGCTACAAACAGAAAGGGAGGATACAAAATGCCACAATACCAAGCCAATTGATGGCTCCATGCAAGAAGCCTTTGGAAAAATTATACCAGCAATGACACCATTAGCAAACATACCAAGTTACAATTTGATGTAGATTACAGTTTGTTGTCTCAGTCCAGGTAAAGCAGTGTCTCAATAGATTAACTCACAGTCCAGGTAAATCACAGTCCAGGTAAGTTCTGTAGGCAGCTAGCTTAAATCACAGTCCAGGTAAGTTCTGCAGGCAGCTAGCTTGATCCGAAGTCTCGTCTGTTTCTCAGCTGAAGTCTCGTCCGGTTTTCAGCAACACTGGAAATTCTTCCACCTTGGTCTTTACCGGCACTGGGACGAAGGCAGGAACTCCAGATGGCTAAAGAAAATCCTGTAGTATTCCAGCAGGTGCTAAGAAAACAACCTTCTGAACAATTTAGTACATTATCTCAAGGTTTTTTACATTTGAAATAAGCCTTAATAGTGCTCATTACTCATTAGCTTCCAGGTGTGGAAGAACCATTATAGTTACTAGCCTTGGAAATGATCAAACTTCAGGGACGCAGTGTCCCGGGCAGCCCCAGATGGCCTTGGAGAGAGTCCCGGACTCAAACTGCTTCCGGGCACAGGTTTGGATTTGGGCTCTCGCAGTGGTGTCCCACTCCCCGAGCAGGGGGCGGGAAAGAGCCGGTTGCCGCCGCTTGGAAAGCCCTTGCTGTGCTGTGACCAGCTGGCGCACGTGGCAGCCGCCGCACCGATTGATGCACCCTCCGGTAACGCAAAGTATTTAGTAGTAGCCTTTTGCAATTTCTTTCTTGATAATCCTTCCTCCTCTGAACTTTTTTCTTCTTTCTGACTAGAGTTCCTGGGCTTCCATCAACACATGCCCTAACTATTCTTGGTTCCACTGGGGTGCCTCCTTCCCTTAGTAATTTACTTCTCACCCCTTCCATATTCTCATCACAAAGACAATACAATACACTGAGACAAAACAAGACACAAACATACTGTATCAATCCTTTCCATTTTCTCTAAATGGCCATATTTCCTCTCGCCCTATCTAGGGACGAGCAGATTTGCTCCCGTCCTATCTATGGACGGACAGCTTTTTTTTTTTTTTTCGTCAC